AGCCTTTCATCCCTCTGAAGCTCGTTAATTGGTAACTCGTCTGGGAGGGTAATAACACTAACCTTGTACATGTGCTAGCCCCGCAGGTCACTAGATAGCGCGCAACGCTTGCAAAACGCCGCTGCGATTCTGAATGGGAATAGAACGCGTGGCGCATCCCAAAAACGATTGCTTTGAAACCATCGCTCTTTCCTTTTATCCTTAACACTAAAAAGAAGCCTTTAGAGGGAGATTGGTGAGAAAGTTCATCTGAAAGCGCTGAGATTACTTGCCAAATTGCAATTTCCGATTTCCGAATTCCCTCTATAACACCACGTATAACTTCGTAAGGAGTTCCGTGAGAAGAAGAGCTCGAGCGATACCAGGCCGTCTGATAGATTCGCCAATTTTGTTTCCCACGCCCAAAAAGGAACTCCAGCAACCCTTTCTTCTTCAGCTCTACCTCTGACCTTTCGGCTTTTCTTCTCATTAGTGAGTGCACATCTTAGAGGTGCTTTTAGAAATTGCACTATGGGTCTCAGAAATTGGACAAGGTACAAGGTATGTCTCAAAAATCGATATTTTAGGTGCTAACTTCGTTCTGGGACTTTTACGCGACCATGCAAGACATTCGAGCACTCAGTCAATCTAATGAATGGGAACAACTGAATGGCGTCACAGATTTTTCTACTCGGAATGTTTCCATGAAAGGATTAAGCTTGCTTCGACCAATTAAGGTAAGTTACGCCGATGGCAATATAATACAAATTACACAGAAAACCAATAAATAATAATTTGTTGTTGTTCCTTCATATTTATTTACTTATTTTTGTTAAGTTTACTTGTATTTTGAATACTTAAAAACACTTTGAGGCTCTAATCGTTTGATACAGAAAAAACCATCGTATAAAAATCATTTTTCATTGCTCTGTTTTAGTATATCTAGATATAATAGATCAAATAATAAATGGCGCTATCGCTGAATACGGGGGCGCTACGGTAGCGATACAAGTGAGACCGTATAGAAAATCTCTTTTTGTTACAAAGGTACTAAGACTTACAAACAGTGAGCAATTCCAGGGTGATTGAGTGATTTTCATTTTTCCCTAAGTTCCTGCCCCTCCCCCCTAGGCTTCTTCACAGAGGATGCCCCGTATCTTGCGATAGCGCATGATAAATTGTCTTCCAAATGATAAGGGTGTGAAAAATGTCATGAAAATGAAAAAGTAAATGAATATCTTGTCGACGACTCGTAAAAGCAAAAAAGCAGTACAAAAAATAAGAATAAATACGAATGCGAAAGCGGTAAGTGGCCCTTGGAAAGTACGCTGTAGGATTAAGAGGGCGTACTGAAACATTTCATAGGAACACTTAATTCTTTCAGGATCGAAACTGTAAGGAAGCCGGCATTCCGGATGAGTTATGTATGTGCCGTAATGAAATCGCTGTGGATGTAAATGAAAAAATTGTAGGTTTGCATAGAAATTTACCACAAAACCAGAGACTTTGCGATTTTCCGATTTACGTTTCGCCTAAAGCTCAATCGATTTCGACTTGTATTTGTCGAGTATTTGGTGGACTATAAGAGAAACAAATTTGATCCTGAACCGGCCCTTCTCTCGGGACTTAGAGGGATCACCAGTACTATTTCGATGATGTAATGGAGTACACATGGGATAAATGAGTGAAAATTCAGATTCTGAGAGGTTCTTCCACCTGGGAGAAACTGCCAACTCTTCCCACTTTTTTAGACCTTGACATATCCCTCCTGGTCGAAAGAATGAGAAGATGAAAGTGGATTAATGGGTTTTTGCTATGAAGGGGGGGGAGAATAGCCGAGGGAGATGAAATCACACGCAACGCTGTGTCGAATTCACTACCAACACAACAACCACTTTAAAATGATAGAAAATCGAAAATCGGAAAACGAAACTCTACCACGAAAATAAGGATTCGGATCATTTTCAGATAAGGCAGCTTGGTAATGAAATTTTACGTCACCTGAACAACCTATTGGCTTCATCCAGTCAGTGCGCCAAGCTAACTTTGGCGAGGATCCTACACGCTACCGTAATCGAGGACGATGACGATGCACGACGCTCAAAGGCACAATACCGCGTGACTGTTGAGGCAAAGCCGTCAGGTGCTCTACTCGAGGCGTTACTTAAGTATGATCGTGCCCACAATACCTCCACTGTTTATCGTAATGTGAATCGGGTTAACGCATACGGTAATCAATCATCATGTGTATATGACCAAGAACTGCGTAAATTCTGTTACTGTATATCTGATTAGGACCAATAGGGCTAGAATGACATCCCGTGCTGGAAAAGTCGGCTAGGAGTTCTCTAGCAATTAGGTGGGCATTCAAGTCGCAGAGCACATCCTTTCCATTCGCACTCGCCCAAATCCACCCTCCACCAAAACTTGGCAAAAGAAAACTGCCTTTTTTCGAAAACTGGCATTTAGAATTAAATAAAAAATCAACAGTGATCTAATTTGGAAGAAGAGGCATACCTTCAACTGACGAGCCGTGAAGTTCAATTACCACGTGAAGTTGCCCGTGCGGTTCGAGGTCCACCTAAAATGTAGGTAGTTAAGTAGTATCAGTTTTTAAGTATATGTATAGGCAGTAGTATTGTTGAGGTCTGAGCAGTTTACGGTGATCGTATTTTACCGCCAAAAATCCCAGACCACACCCTAGTAGGCCAGGATGTCTTTATTCAGAATTATCACACTAGATCACGAAATATTATCTTTGATTCACGTAACACTGTCAGTTTATGTACATAAGCATAATAATAAAGTTTTAAAGTAAAATTAGTTACAATGAATGATACGATATATAATTCTAAAGTTATTTCATTGAGTTGTGAAGAGTACTTATAATTGTGATACTGAAACGATTATTATTATTATCATTATTATTACCGATTACTTACCCAGATATCATTAGTGCTGCCTATTTTGAGATCGTCGAATGGTATCCTAGTGTTAGCCACAAAATCATCTGGTGGCATCACACAATTATGAAAGACGGTGAAACCGACAGCTTTACCAGAGTGCACGTCGTTCTGAAATAGATATATAGTTCAATGCGTGCAGAGGCGTTTTCTGATTGCAGCTCAAGGTGTGGGTCAGGAGATTCGGATTGTGGCTGCGCGCCCATTTCACTGCTAGTTGACTTATTCTACTGTGAATTTTCGAGATCAACCAATTGGGCGGTAGTAGTGTACATTAAATATCATTTATTTTACAGCATCGTGAAATTACATAAATGGTCAATGGCCTTCTTTTGATTGAAATATTCAAGAAACTAGAAACATCGTGAATCAGGATTTCAGTGGTAAAGAAAATAAACTGGCAAAAACAGAAAAAAAAGAAAAAAAGAGGAAACAAGAACACTCTTTATAGCAAGTATCCACCGAGCCCTCCTACATGCACGGGCACCAAGTTTAAATGGTACGATATTGTCCGCTACAAATGCTGCGCTCGCGACAGCGCCTCCGACGCCGTTTTCGCAAATGGATCTCCTGACATATGGCCTGTATTCCGCGTTGGCACATAAAGCTCTTCACGGGCATATGAAGGGAGATGCTAATAGATGAATCTTCTAACAAGATAAAAAAAAACGTGGAATTACTGGTACGCAGTTACATTTCCAAAAGAAGGGCAACTAGAATAAGCGTGCGCTGCGAGCGCAGTTTCCAGCACGAATTCCGGTCATCTTGTGCTGTAAGAAGCATAAAAGAACTTCAACCGATCACCTTTATAAGACGCACCGCAAAAACCGCTGCATTCTAGCTCTATTTTCGATTAAAACGCTAATGTGCGCACGAACAAATATGGCCCACTAGGTGTTACTGTATCACCTGTTCAGCGCGGCATCCTTCTGATCTTAGCAACCCGTCTTGCCTCATCACCTTAATAAAGAAACGAACGGCAGACACTCGTTCAGTATAAAATTGTTAAAATATTCGCCAGCTTAGGCTCCGAACGACGTCGACGCCTTCTATGTCCCAGGCCATCTCCTACCCCTACTCTACGTGCGAATTGATGAAGCATTAATCATTATAAAACTTACCGCGACGAATTCTTCGTTCCAACGTGGTTCGTTGGTCTTCGGCCGAACCAGCGTCTTACCAACATGGTACTCGTCCCAGTCTACGTTAACATAAGAATCTATCGCCGCCTGAAAATAAATGAATAAGAAAAACGTCTTATTTCAAAATCCTACATGCCTGATCGAAATCATTTCTACTTTTCCAGACGTTGCTTTGAATTTAATAAGCCTTCTACTTCTGCTTGAAAGCAGTGCGTGGCGCACCAGCTGAGAGGCCATGGCGGAGGCCGGTTTTGGTGACTTGATTTTGAGGCGGCGTTGTCGCCAACTCTAACCCCGGCATCCACTTTACCAACGATTGTCATGAGGTCATGTAAAAGTTTCACATCTCAACCCCATAGCACCCACTGCTTTAAATTCCCCAAAATTCCAGAGTCTATTTTAGAAAACTCTCATAATATTGTATTTTCACATGACTACTGATTTGGTGTGTGCCGTGCACCTTCAAAACCGTGTGTCAGATTCAAGAGTGAAAATAGTACGTCTCATTCTGATTGAATCGGCCGAGACCATCGTCGTCGATAGACCTCGAGCCGTCTAGAACCGCGCACTCGAAGCGACCCGTGAACACATCGTAGAGTACTAATTGACGGGCGCGCTTCCAAAAATGATTAAATAGTTTGAAGCACCTGGAAAATTGCAACTGGGATTCACTCCTCTCTCTATCGAATTATCACGAGACGAGGAAAAAATTCCGAAGAAACACGACAAGACATGAGGATAATACAAAGCGAACGAAACGGAAGAGCACAGTGAAAAACTATATGAAATGAGATTCTTTCAATTACCAACAATGTTGCGAACGCTCCTATCAACACCGGGACGGAGCAAGTAGGGTCGGCATTTTTCCCAAAGATTTTGCGGCCTCTCCCTTTTAGCGCAGGTCTAAATAAAAGCCCGCCGCCACCACTGTCAGCCTTAGAGGAGTCCACTCCTCCCAGGATTCCTTCCCCCTCGGGCAGATACCTGATGTAGCGGCAAATCTTCCAATTTCGCCTACTTTTCACCTTACGACGTTTTCACCGAAATAATCCAAACACCTGCACACAAAAACGCCCCTCCCCTATCTCACAATTTTCCAAACATAGATAATCTTTTCCAGCCCTAGAGCAACCTCTCAACCCCCAAGTCGTAAATACGACCCTTTCGTTCTAATAATGCACGAAAGATATCGCCGGGAGACATCCCCTAGATCTACATGGAACGGATGCATTCGAGTCATTTGCACTGTGCCTCCGCCTTTCGAAGGGACCGTCAGGGCCCGCACACGCGTTCACAAGCCAGTCGCATAGACCGCCGTCACACTCGGCAACGGACAAGCGATGGAGCGATCGCGTCGCTCCATCGCTTGTCCGTCGCCAAGTGTGACGGCGGTCTTAGCGCTCGCGGCACGCTTATTCGCATGGCAAAGGTGCTCACCGACTACATGCCACGTGCATCAGTGACTGGACAGCCTCCGCAATAAATGCGATAGTATCCTGTATTGTTTCAAGGACGCTATAGCTCAGCATCGAGCAGTTGATGGGTTGGAAAAAATGTCTTGCGACACCTTTTTCAATGTTATATTTTTTCTAAAAATTCATAGCGTTAAAACTGTAATCTGTGGTTATAAGAACGGTGGTGTGCTTTATCGTTTCACGGAAAGCTCAACGCATGCAGCACTCCCGCTTCGAGTCCTTACCCGCTCAACTTAACCCTTTGAGGGGCGGGAGAAAGTGTGAGCTGCGCACTTTTCGTTTTCCACGAAGTTTCTCCTCGTCCTTGCCTCATACTCCGCATAGCAATGTTTCTTAAGTACAATAATGCAGGTTGAACATTTTCAAGGGTTGAACACAATGGAGGATGCAAATTGATCGGAATAGTACAAAGCAATGAAATAATCGAGACAAAATAAAACATAAAATATAAAATGGTAGTTAAATAATACAAAGTCGAGACTGAAAATGGGTCTATGTGTAGCAGGCCTCCTGCGAACGTTCTCAGATGGTATATTCTGCCTCAGCATAGCGCTATGACATCGGTCAAATTCGTGGCAATGCTACCCTTCACTCAAAAACAGGCTTGTCCTCGACCCCTCCCCAACCATTCTACTCTAAGCGGTTACTTCCAATATACCCCTACAAATTTGCTCAAACACTCCCATAGCTTATAGCGTCCGCACATACTACGCAACAAAAGGGATAAAAAGTTCAAAAATCCGTGCCCTCTCCGCAACATCCGAAAATGTACTGCCCATCCTGTGTGAGCCACCATATCCCCGTTCTGGTCCCTATATTCTCTAATCTAAATTGACACCCATTCGCGACCGCGCGGGATTGCGCAACAGCAGTACAGTCAGGAGATTTTTGTTCAATAAATTTGAGTGGACGGAGATTTCCTTCTGCCCAGGGCTGGCGTAGATGAATGAGGGTATGAAGATTCTTTTCATGGAAGAAAATGTTCCAAATTCCATTTGAAACGCGGTAGCCAACGGTGGATGCCATTGCTCGAGTGAGTCTTTGTCAGCCACCGGTGGCTGACATTGTCACGATGGTTAAACATTTTCCCTCGATGTTCTTCTTTGGGTGTAACCAACCAAAAAATCTTTCACTGCATTGATTTGACAGCAGTTATGCACTGACATTCCAGAGGTCCGTAGACGCACAGAGAGAAAACAGAGCAATGGCAAATGCCGTCAAAATTATCGTGATGGAAAGGACTCGCACAGAAAGAACTTGCACTGTCACTCTAATGTAAGGTGAGTCATTTGGCCACAGAGGACTGTTCGCTAAAAAAATTAATCCTCCTGTTCTATTCGATCGAGAAATCAATTACTGATGAGTCATAATCAGATATATGAATCAGTGTAAACAATTGTAGCTCAATAGCAACCGCAATTGCCACCATTATGTGGCATCGTGGGAACACGAAAGAACGAAAACGTTGGAAATCGTTGTAAAAACAATTCAATAACATCAAATAAAAACTATACGAAGTTATTACGATATTTAGGTTGTTTTTCGTGAATGTAGACACACGGTTTTATGTAAAACGCCAAACGTTTCGACAAAATAGTTCTCTCCCTTGATCCCACGTGCACCACATGGTTGCTCACGCTGAACACATTTTGACAAAAGTACTACACTAGGACAAAGCATAACAACCGATTCCAACCAAGTGATTGGTTCTCACATGTCGCAAGTTTAACACCATAATGAGCACAGTATAATACAGAGATATCTAGAGGCTTTTTGATTATACCTCTAGCACGGTTAGTGGAAAATTGGCCGTCCTCAGCAGAAAAGCCAATGGGCCGCCCTCAACAAAAAAACTTTCATTTCTCTGCTCTCAGCAAAAATGTCTCAGAGAAATGGAACTTTTTCTTCTTCTTCTCTTTCAGTTCTTTCGCGGCTTGGTAAAGGAAAATCCGACAAGCTGCGGAAAACACTAAACATTGATGTGGCACCAAAGAGTGCCACGTCGTCCCGAGTGAAATGTGAAGCAAAGATTTGCTACCTCTTCCGTCTAGAACAATGAACCCAGCCTTATTTATGGCTTCCTTAACATCTTGAGGAGATCTTGTCTCTCTAGCTACGTGAGCAGTGGCAAGATTGCAGCCGCAGTCAAAAACTGGGAAAAATCAAACATCGATATAAACTTGCGGCTCACCACATTGCTGAGCACATACCTCATGGTTATATTGAGTATGGAATCTGCGAATAGATCCTGCCAGAATACAATAGTGGCGTGCTCCGTGAATTAGAAAAATCTGAACAATCTGAAAGTAACTCCCCTAGGCTATGCGGCGCTAAGGGGCGCCGCAGGTGTCCCACGAGAAGTGCGAAGGGTGATATACACGGCACCACACTGGTAAAGGTGCTAAAAACCATCCCATGAAGCAAATGTACACTAAAGCTTAGATGATCTTAGAAGGATCGAGTGTGCGGCCGCCATCTCAGAAGGCGATTTGAGATTACCAACAATAACCCACCAGCCACCTGACCGATTCAAGTAAAATCCTTGAAACAGGAAAATTATTTGCTGCAATATTACTTAACAATAATTTATTTCGTTGATAAATATAAAGGATAAAGCATTTGCCGTTGATCAATCCCTTTTTGGGATGCGGCACGCATTCTACTTCCATTTGTACATTCGTAGTGGCGTTTGAATGCGATGTGGCCTATACAATGACTTGCGGGGGCCAGCCGATGTACAAGTCAGTGTTTTTATCCTCCCAGACAAGTCTGGTACCAATTAACCGACCCCGGAGGGATGGAAGGCTTGGTTGGCCCGGGCGACTCACGACCCAGGATCCGATCCCCGGAGCGCTCGCGCGGTGGCAAACGTGCCCACTTGCCACTACACCACTTCCGCGCCGTCGATGAGTTGAAGGAAGTAATTGTATCTTGTAGAACGATGACAAGTCTCCCTAATCCCTTCATGAAATGCTTCGACAAAAACAACAGCGTCCAGTCTCTGAACGGCGACAAACTGAACCACAGTAATATGAGTTTTGCCTTCCGACAGCCGCTGGGACCTCCCATCCCCTGCGTATGCCTCACGCCGCTTCACGCCTAGGCAAGTATGCGCTGGGCGCGAAGAAAGTTGGGGAGGGGTGATTGTTCAATGAATACTTACTGCGCAAGAAAGTAAATCAGCAGCTAGCAAAATAATAATAATAAATAGTTTAAAAAATGAATAGCCAAAAATGACATGGTCGAAACGGGAGCACTGATGAATTAACTTTTCAACATGTTGTCCGTGGCGTAGACAGAGGATTTCATTAGGGACTTATCAAACTTCCTATATGTTCTCGGTGAACTGCCGCGACGGAAGGTCGGAAAACACCGCTAGAGAATCAGGGTTGGAGTTTAATCGTGTTTCATACCTTGAACCGCGTTAGTGCCCTTCAGAAAACGAAGATTTTGTCGAAATACGTTAGGCGATTGAATAAATTCCAACCTTGCTCACCCAGAACGGACAGAGAGAACAAGCACAAGATACAAAAAAACTCTATACATGTTTTCCGTGGCGATGCGTTGAATTCTCCACGATATTAGGTTGCCTTCCGCCCGCGTAGCAACGACGGCTCGTCGCGCCGGCAAGAAGGCCGGTCG